GACCAGGTTCCACTTAATGTCGAGTCTGCGGTAGAAACTTCAGTTGAAGTATTTCATATGTGTGCTGAGTCTTGTGGCCTTTTAAAAGAAGAAATAGAGTAGTGTTTGCCGGACTAGGGATAGTAAGGATTGGTACCATGATGAGTTTATGAAATTAAAAAGACAAAAGTTTAATAAACTTGATTTATTCAGAATCTCAGGAAATAAGGAACTTTTGAAGGAATATTTTGTAATTAAGACTAAATATTGAGAACTGTGTGGACAAAAGAGATTGGAGTATGAGGAAGAGTGTATCAATGATTTGGTCAATGATAGCAAGAATGGTAAATCTTTTTTGGGACTTGTTCTTCACCTTCTGTGACAGGCAGCCCAGTTATGCAGTGGACCGAATATTTAACTGATATACCTGTGGATGGGGACAATCTGGATGAGGCAGAAAATGTTATGAACAGCCATGATATTAATGAGTGCAATTACTGTAATGATGATGATATGAATAATCTCCTAAATGCTGATATAACGCTGTTTAGACAGCCTTTGTTGGATTGTATCCAGATGAAAATCAGTCCTTTAAATTTAGGTATTATTCACAGGTTAAGATTTTATTGAATATGGAATATTGTGTTACAGCTTTCAGAAATAGAGACCATAGACGTATGCTGTGCCTGTTGAGATTAATTGAATTGCCTATAAGGACAGATCCGGGCAGAAGAGAGGATATTGTTTATTCACAACGCTTTTGTCGGCTAAGTAACAATGGTTCTATTGAGGACGAAGTCTATTTTGTGTTTGTCTGCCCGTTTTACGCATCATTAAGACAGAAGTATATTCCTGTAAGATTTTATAACAATCCATGTATTAATACCTTTAGCAATCTCTTGAATAGCCAATGTAGAAATGTAGCTAAGTATGTGAATAAAGCTCTGTTATTACGTACAAAGACCTAATACCCTAAGTATTGTTTTCAATGTAAATTGCCTCAATTGTGTTACTATATATAACTGAAATGTACATGGACCTATGGACTCCCATACATGAATAAACATATACCTATACATAGACGCCGCCTCTTTCAGCAAACATAACTACTATAGGACCAGTTGCCCCCAGTCACCCAGGCCACCAAATCTGACTCCCCAATCCTTTGAGCCGCTTCTTACAGCGGTACCATGGGACAAGTTGCACCCCTGATATCACACGGATTGTTTTTTATGGTTTATCACGGTCTGTGTTATCTGAATGCCTTGCATCAGTGCCAAAAAAATGAAATGTTTGTTTAGTGGACCGACTGAGGTGGGGCAAAATGTATCAAGGGGTGATTAAGGCATCGCATCCTTTTTTCCGTGCCAGGATACGATGGTCGAGTATCAGAATAGGTCAAATAATGACCCATGACCTGCATCACTGTGGGTTGGGACACGGTTCCCCAAACGGTCAGAGGTGTTGGATTAATGTGTGGATAAGTGCTTCTCTAAGTAGTTAGTTGTGTTTTGGTGGGGATACGTGTTTTTCTAAATAGTTGGGGGTCTCTCTACCCGACTTAAATACCAGATACGCATTGATTGTCATCCGTGTTTTTCAGCACGTTGGTTAAGCAAAGTGGTACGACCGCATAAAAAATACAGGCCGTGATATAACTGGAATACTGTTTAAAGCGGTCTTAAACCCAACTCAGTGTTCCTGCCAGGTCGCATAGTCTTGTCATATTCACACACTTCGTCGTGCGGGGGCACGGTTGGCCCAGTCGTCTGAGGCGCCGCGATTCGCTGTGCAGAGGTGCGTCCCTTGGGCACGCCAGAAACCTATGATTGTGGGTTCGAATCCCGGTTCGCCCCAATTATGTTTCTAGGTTTGTCAGCACCCTACCCGTGCTCGTGGGTTTCACCGAAGTGGTAAACGTCTTAAACCTGCATCACTTCGGGCTTTTTCTCCCACATTAAGCTGACACGCCGCGATATGACTCGAATAATGTTAAAAGCGGCGTTAAACCAAACTCACTCACTCACTCACTCACTCACTCACACTTCGTCGTGCGCTCACAGAGAACTCCCATCAAAACCACGTTGCACCGAATTCTCTCAGGACTCAACTGTAGTTAAGAATCCAAAAATGTTATTTGTGCGGCAAATCGTATTGATACTGCTCAGAAATTTACGAATATCATTGACTCAATTACAGGCTCCTTTAAGTTAAATATTCAGATTGTCAAACGCAGCAGAAGTATATTTTTAGCGTGTGTGTTGTTTCAACAGCGAGTAAAAGTATTTCCAAGATTGTAGTACGCTTCCATCACTTGTCTTCGTCGAACGAGTCTTATATAACAAAGCAGTTCCATCAAAATTGCAATACTCCATCACTCACTCACTCATTTCTTCTTACGATTATCGGCTATATTTTCCTTCATAATCCTAAACGCTGACACGCTCCTGTATACAGCTGGTGACTACTGGACAAGCCTAATAGTTTATTACATTTTACACTGTTCAAGCCTTACCATGTATCTTGTGTATATGAAAAAGATGGGTCGATACCTGATTAAAGTCAACTTTTTCCAGACATGTTGGTTTCAGTTCATTCCTGGGTTCGATGCTGCATTATTGTTCCCAGCTTGTCATGATGACAGTACTGCTGCAAGCGCTGCAAACTAAAACTCACTCACTCACTCCACGATAAACGTTTGGAAGCAGATGAAGGGCATTCAACATCCCTGTGGGGATCTAATCCTTGCCATATTTTTGTGATGGGAGAACGTACTAACCATTGTGCTATCACATGTGAGTAGAGGTCTTTGAAAAATTAAGTCTATTGTCATTGTTCTTTAAAACATCAATAACAATTTCGCAATATTAAATATTTATTGAATATCATGGTATGTACAAACGATTAAATTGATATCTATTCACAAGATAATATTTGAAATACTGTATTAAACTTGAGAATGATTCCAGTCAAATCATTTCGGTATTTTAAAAAGGGTACAAATGTCAACAAACGCAAAATAGGAAACGGATTGAGACATGGCAAAGAACACGAACGTTGCCATGACAACTCCAGCCAGATCCAATGGAGCTATGCGAGTGTGCATTGTTCCTTTAAACAACTTCAATATATATGAAACATGTTATTGGCTTCTTACTGATAAGGGGCGGTCGGGTAGCCTAGTGGTTAAAGCGTTCGCTCGTCACGCCGAAGACCCGGGTTCGATTCCCGACATGGGTACAATGTGTGAAGCCCATTTCTAGTGTCCCCCGCCGTGATATTGCTGGAATATTGCTAAAAGCGGCGTAAAACCATACTCACTCACTCACTCACTCTTACTGATAAAGGGTTTCTTGTTTATTTCCTGCCGTGTGTGCCAGCTAGACATCACATGACCCATCTCGGAGGTCACAAGGCTATCACAGTTCTCCCCGGCATCCTCCAACCTCTTCACCTTCCTCGTCTCCACTCAGCCCACTCCACTGTTTGTCACAGTGGACGTCCAGTCGGTCGTCTACATGGAGAATGTCAAATGTACACACGTCATTCAAGCATTCAACATCCTTCAGTCATAATGGTCATTTAACGTTCAAATACATTCTAGACTTGCTGGACTAGCAGTGAAACCAAACAGAGAGTGACATTTACAGTAACCTTGAAAAGGATTTTAGTTATATCACGGCCTATGGGCTTAACGTAAAGGGTTGGGTTTGGTTGGTTGGTTGGTTGGTTGGTTTATTGTTTAACGCCGCACTCAGTAATATTCTAGCTATATGAGGGCGTTCTGTAAATAATCTAGTCTGGACCAGACAATACCGTGATTAATATCATGAGCATCAATCCACGCAATTGGGATCGATGACATGCATCAACCAAGTCAGCGAGCCTGATCACCCAATCCCGTTAGTCGCCTCTTACGACAAGCCTAGTCGCCTTTTATGGCAAGCATGGGTTGCTGAATACCTATTCTACCCCGGGTCTTCACGGGTCTTACGTAAAGGCAAGCCAAAGGTGGCACGGGTCAAAGGGTAAGTGAGTGAGCTGGGTTTAACGCCATTAAAATTCTTTGAGGTTGGTTGTAAAGGCTTTCATTTTACACCACTGTGGCTGGGGTTGTCACGGATATGGTCTGATAAAGCTGATTTTGAGTCAACTTTGTAAACTGAGCTCTGATGTTATTTAATTCGGGTCTTAAGCGACCTTGTTGTTTCGCCAATACAAACGTCCACAATTACACTGAATGCGGTACACAGCTCCCGATGGTTTCTGCTGTTGGCTGCTTGATGGTGGTTTTCCTGAGGCTTTGGTGGTGGTTTGAATAAGGTTACTTCTCTTGAAGACTACAATAATGTTGGCCTGTTTCTTTAAGATACTCTGGAGTTTTTGGCTAACAATTCCAAAGAAACAGCAAAACCACCATCCAGCCAACAGCAAGAACCATTCAATGCAGTGTGTCACATTCAGTTCAATTGTGGTCATGCCACATCAGACCATATTCGTGACAACCCCTGCCACAGCATCCAGTGGGATGAAGACCTTACAACCAACCTTAAAGACTTTACGATTAGACAAATTACAAGAAGGAACCAATATCAAAAGATCCCATCAATCATCAAGCATGTTTGACACACATTATGTCATTGTTGTGAGACGTTAAATCGTCTATGCTTGTGGTAAGAGGCGACTAACGGGATCGGTCGGTCAGACTCGCTGACTTGGTTGATGCATGTCTTGGTATCCCAATTACGTTGATCGATGCTCATAATTTCAATCACTGGATTGTCTGGTCCAGACTTGATTATTTACAGACCGCCGTCGTATAGCTGGGATATTGCTGAGTGCAGCGTCAAACAACAAACACAACAAACACAATCCCCATTGAGGAAGTACATCAAATTGCTGATAATTATGTATGAATTCTCATGTCATTGGGTTACAAACAAACCACCTCTCGGACATTTTCACATCCCTTCATCTGTCGCTGAATTTCTCAAGTGAGCAAAAAATCAAACAATATACCATTCAATCAAGAAAACTTTATTTCATTGCATTGTTTTGGGAAACTGTAACAGCAATGTAAGATGTTCTCCATAACACGTCAGGATATGTAAATCAAGCATGTGAATACATGCCATCACCATGTGTTAGTATTCCACGAACCTCTTCCTTGTAACCACATAAAATATATTGAAAATATGAATGTTTTAGTTTTTTCAACCTACAAAAGAAATTTCTAAGTATAACTTCTAAGAGAAAGTTGCCTGGTTTCAATCCTTTGTTGGCTCCATTTCAACATTTCAGAAGAGTAAACAAAAAATTGATTACTTGTTCTTTGAAACATTTCAGGTTACCTTTTTCTAACCCCAAAACACATTTTGATGGTGGTGATTTGAGTAACACAAACTTCGGAAGAAACACTAACCGGGGCCAGGTTTGTCAGCGCAATACCTGTGCTCGTGGGTTTCACCGAAGGGGTAAACGTCCGAGACCTGCATCACTTCAGGCTTTCCTCACACTGGGGTATCAGCTCAATGTGATAGGAAAGCCCAAAGTGATGCAGGTCTACAAATATAACTGTGGCAAACCATGATTAAAACCTCCTTCACAGGGATATCCCGTTCGCGGAGCTCTCTATACCGGGAGTGTAACGAAGGTGTCACGCGCTGGGAAGGAGCTTGCTTTATGACGTGCACAAGGGACATAACTCTGTACAGCAAATTGCGGTTCCTAAGACAACTGGGCCAACTGTGCCAAAAAGAGCATTGAATGTAACATGTCAATCTTCAGCAGGTGTAATTTTTACTTTCTAGATTTTATCATTAGTTCAAGAGGACGTTGAATACAATGACAAAACAATTACCTTTTTTATTACTTCTTTAGTGTCAAGACTCAATGAGTTAAGTAAATCAATTTTGCTGCTGACATGTTATTGTATACTTGAGATGTTGAAAGCTGCAGCAAAACATTCATATCCCATATCTTCAAACTATGTGGATTGTATGGTAGGGCCATAACACTGCACTTCATCAAGATACAATACCTGGACACTGACAGCAAAGGGAATGGATGGAAGCCCACTCAAAACAAAATCAGTGCATTCAAGTCAACCAACAAACAGTGGCTTGAGAACTCTTGTAAATACCTGCAGGAAATACCTTTACAATAAGGTTTATGTAATTTTACATGCCACCCTAATATACACTTGTCTCAGTTCGTATACATGAAATACTGATTCAGAGCTCAATAAATCCTTACATCCTATTGTTAAGTATGGTCAGCGGGGATCTAGTCTGTGTAACAGACCCTGATACAAATATATCAAAAACAGCCCATGCAAGTCTATAATGTTTGGCAAGTCTAGATTACTGTATTCTGAAAATGAACAGATTCTCTGGGCTCCTTTTTTATTACATTTGAACAACTGTTGTTTTTCTGTCAAAATGTTCATTTCAGAGACTAGATGTTAGTCTACTAGGAATCCAGTGCACTGCTGTAATGATCAATTAAAACATGCATCAGTTCACAGCTTCATTAAAGAGGTAAATCACAGTAAAGAAAATATCCACACTTCAGGGTCAAACACCAAATTAGTCCAGGGCTCATTTCAGACTAGTAGTTTGTTTCCTTACACATTTTCACTCGTCTTGTAACGAACGGTACAATGTAGAGTCTAACAGTTTCAACAGAATTACAAGAATCTGAACTTTACTAAGAAAGTGTTATCCCAAATATAACATTTGTTACATTTGACCACTTTCTAAATGGCATTGTGTTCACACTTCACAGTTTCTGTACTGCCTCAAGCATTCAAAGTTGAAACAGTAACCATTGCTCCAGGACAAATGGCCTTTGGTAAATTTCCAGCATGTTTCCATGGTAACCCACACCTCGCACTGGGGCAGTCTATGCCAAGGACTCTGAGACTTCCTTTTGTCATCATTTTCAGTAAATTTCAGTATTAACAGAGGAAGTTGTTAACATAATGTTTACAAGAAATAATTATTAGATTCTGGATTTGTCCCAAAAGTAACAGGCTCCTGTGAAGGTCAAAGATTCTTACAATGAACATGTCTGACTGACAAAATCAATAATATCCAATGGTAGAATAAGAAACATTTGAAATGTACAAATAGTGCAGATGTTTTAAATCATTTAATCATTCCGAAAACTGATTTCAGACAAATATATTTTCTTTACACATTTTTATATACATATATTTGTTACCAGAAAACAAGAGTATAAGCTTTTCAATAACAATAACACCTTACTTATTGAACATTATATTCCAAGTTCAATACTTATTTTCAGTGACATGAGCAGCAATATATTTGCCACATATTGCACATATATTACACATCAACAGAAACAAAGCAAACTTTCTCAGTAGATTCAGATTTTATTTTCAAACCAACGTTAACCTTGTCATAATCTCATTAATGTATTATCTAATTTTGGAAAGTACAGCAGCTCTTCTGTCAGTGTTCTGGAATAAGGCCCTTATGAGTTGCTTAATCTCATTAGCGGAGAAATCCAGAGCCAGGGGCCCTTTCTTCTCCGCCCACCGATCACTGATCTTCTGCAGACTGGCATTCAGCACAAGGTGGAGCTCCTTGAACTTGCGCCACTTGGACACGTTCCTCTGCAGCTCCACATCCATGTTGTCCGCCTTGTCTGTGGGGGTGTTGAAGAGAGGCCCCGCCTTCTCCAGCACCACGGAGAGGAGGCTGTGGAGATGGCGGGCGTCGTCCGAGGAGATGTCCTCAAGGACACAGATGTAATCTGTCAGCTCTGACACCATCGTGTTCACCAGCATTCCTGGAGTTGTTAATAAACACACTATTACTATTTGTTTTAGATTGTGCCGAATGTGTAAGATTCGTCATAATACAAATTTTCATGAACTGAAGATAGTTGATTATATCAAGAGTCTGCATGAAATTAAGACATTTACATTGTCTCTTTATAAATGATATACATGTAATTAAGTCATTCAAGTTTAACTTTAAAAAGAACATCTTGAAATAAATGTTATCGCAAAAATAAAAATACATCTAAAACAGCATTTTCCACTCAGCAGTATTAAGCATGTACAAGCGAGGCACATCTAGAGAAAAGCAGCTTTGTCTGGTAGTGCTTGATTCCTAGATTGACATATATGGTATAATTTGAACTAAAACTCCTCCAATGAGTGTGTTACAATTTGCAATTTCAGTATGCTGTCGATTTCAACGACTTTACAAATAATCATGATAACTGATGTGGAATTTGGTGACAATTAAGCTGAAGTGAGGCGAGAACCCACAACCTACAAGTTGACAGAAAAGGGACATAACTCCTATAGATCCATGGACCAGGTTTGTCCTAGTGTATTATGTTTGTTTGTTTATTTGTTGTTTAATGCCACACTCAGCAATACGCCAGCTATATGACACCAGTCTGTAAATAATCAAGTCTGGACCAGACAATACAGTGATTGACATCCTGAGCATTGATCCATATAATTGGCCTACGAGGACATGCATCAACAAAGTCAGCGAGCCTGACCAACCGATCCCGTCAGTCGCCTCTTGGGACAAGCATAGTTGCCTTTTACGGCAAACATGGGTTGCTGAAGACCTATTCTATCCCGGATCTTCACAGGTCTCCCAGTGTAATAATAAAGCTTGTGACATTGTGTATTCCACCTTTGCCCCCTCACCTATAGCCTTCCTGTACATGTTGACTGGCAATACTTCCTGCCACACATTCTGTAGATGAGTCAGCTGATGGAGGCACTGCTTAATGGACCGCTCTGCAGCAAAGTATTGTTCGTCTTCCGACACACCGCTGAAACCTGCCCAATCAATCACATTTTAGATATAGATTACAGTACTCTCCTTAAGATAGTTATATAAGGTCTTAAAATACACATCCAAAATAAACAGTAAAATTCATAAAATCATAATATTATCAATGTTATCAAATTTATTTACTTTCTGATTCATTTCAGCAATAAAACAACAGGACAAGAAGAATGTGTACCCATGTATGTAATAGAACCCTGGTCCTTGACATGACAAGCAAACACATTAACCACGAGGTCAACCTCCATTTTTGTTATTGAAATATTTGTTTGTTTTGTGCTGCATTTATATCACAGCAGCCTGTAAAAATTACGTCAAGGCAAGATAAACAGCCTTCATACTTCAAGTTAGTCTGCTAGCCCGAGACTACAAAACTGTGCCAAGGTCAGATTAAAATCCAATGCTGGTAGTCCTCACTGACCAAAGGCATGTGAGGGCTATAATTTATAATGCAGTTCTCACTGCTTCAATTTTGCTATAAAATGGAACTGAATAAATTAACAGAAATTGTAAACAGACAACAGTTTTGTCCTGTTCAAGCAGGACCAGCTATAATTCTCAGGACAAGTGCCATAAGGTTTACACTAGTCCTAAAAAAACAAATTTCTAACTTAATCTAAGGCTGGGCAAACAAGTGGCTGACAGCCTGATCCTCATATTCACACAACATTGTCACACATCACAGGACAATGTCACACATCATAGGACAATGTCACACATCACAAACCAATATCACACATCACAAAACAATGTCACACATCACACAACAATGTCACACAATGTCACACATCACATGACAATGTCACACATCACACAACAATGTCACATCACACAACAATGTCACACATCACAGGACAATGTCACACATCACACAACAATGTCACACATCACAGGACAATGTCACACATCACAGGACAATGTCACACATCACACGACAATGTCACACATCACACAACAATGTCACACATCACACAACAATGTCACACATCACATGACAATGTCACACATCACACAACAATGTCACACATCACACAATGTTGTCACACATCACACAACAATGTCACACTTCGCACAACAATGTCACACATCACACAACAATGTCACACATCACACATTGCCACGCATCACATAAAAATGTCTCACATCACTGTCACAGGACAATGTCAGTAAACACTGTCACACAACAATGTCACATCACAGAATGTCACACAACATTCAAACAACATCACAACACTGTCACACAACGTTACACAACACCATAACAACAATGTCACACATCACACAACAGAACCCTGTAACACACCAATGTATGTCACAAAATGTTGTACAATGTCACACATCACTGTCACATAACAATGTCACACAAAAATGTCATACAATCCACACAGAGCTTGGCCATGAGACCGCTCGTGAAATGAGGCAAACCCCATCACATCACTGTGAACACCCATACCCTCCGCGGCACCAGCTGTACTGACCATTCGACCCCTTCAGTGACTCGGAGATCTGGCTCTTCTGTGTGTTGAGCTGCTCCTGGAAGCTTTCTGTGCCGATTTTCTTAATTTTATAGATCAGATCGACAAATGTGGCATTGAGTGTTGAGGGCAACTTCTTGCTGAACTGATGTCCTAGTGTCATCAAGTGGTGGGCGATGAACATACAGTTGTTGTGGTGCAAAGCTGCAACATATGGACAAAGTCACAGTCAGTGACATTTAGCATTCTCAGGACCACCGCTGATTTTTTAGGTAATTTTCACTACGGTAAAAATAGCTGAACAAGAGTTTGCCACTAATGTGGCTATATATTAAATCTAAACAAACCCTAACCTTTTTTAACCGAGGTGGAACTTTTCATGGAAATTGTTAAAAAAAGAAGAGTTTGGAACCTAAGTCCCATCTTGTTGCCATGGAAACATAAAAAAGTCAAAATTTCTAAAATTTCTAAATAGCAAAAGGCACCAGTTCAGCATGTACCTGACAGACCTGCAAAGTTTCATGAAAAAATATAGAACGGTTTCTGAGTTATGCTCCGGAAACGAAACGTGACGGACGGAGGGATGGAGCCCGTTTCTATATACCCCGCCAACTTTGTTGGGCGGGGGATAAAAATCTACCAATTGCTGCAACAAAGTTTACATATCAACCTGATTGCATTTCGCCTAAAGGTCGCCATCTATCCTTACTCATGTGACCTACATATGCCCAAATGAAATTCCCTTTTTTACACAACACCAGTGTTAAAATAACCTTTATACTTTACTGAAGGTATCTCACAAAACAAACATTTTTTCAAGGATATATTGGAGTATCAATTGTTTTTGATACATAAAGTCCATATGCCAGCAGATCTTAATGTCACTTCAAGATCAGAATGAAAATGGGCGTCGACACCACACTGGCTTCACGCCAGTGGCAACATATACGCAAACCATTTGTCACAGCGGAGCAACACACGTTTTATACTACCCCTCCTGCTATTACTTTGAAATTTATTTGAGAATCCATGCCGAATATTACTCTTGACTTGAAGCAACTTTACACAAATACTGAGGTTTTGAAACCTTGCTGTAAAACAATTTCACAGTTTTGTAATCTTTGTTTGGGATACAGCAGCACTTGGTGTGTGCAGCTTCTTTAAAGATATTGGAAATAGGTTTTTCTTTGTTTGTTGTTTAACACCGCACTCAGCAATATTCATGCTATATGACACCAGTCTGTAAATAATCAGGCCTCGACCAGACAATACAGTGATTGACATCCATCATGAGCATCGATCCACGCAATTGGGATACGATGACATTCATCAACCAAGTCAGCGAGTCTGACCACCCGATCCTGTTAGTCACCTCTTACGACAAGCATAGTCGCCTTTTACGGTAAGCATTTGGAAATAGGTAACGTTAGTCAGTGAGTACATTTAATACCACTTTGAGCAGTATTTCAGTAGTATTAAAGGCGTTTCAGCATAATGTAAGAGGAAAGTCTAAAGTGATCATGGTGATGCAGATCATTAATTATTTATTCACCCTACAACCTGACCTTGGCTGGAAGCAGGCCTGTCCACACCAGTGTGTACCTTTCATAATCAGACTCACCTCTAGCAAACCACTAGCCAACCCCAACCATAGCACATGAATGATCAAACTATGTAAGAACCTGTAGCAGACAGGATGAAGTGTTTAATTGCGTGATGGCTATGCCCATCATTAACATTCTTTGGCCCTCTTATGTTGGATCCACCGACCCCACATTCAAAATTGAAAGAAAATTCAATAATAATCCAAATTTATACCTTTTTTTCAGCCCATAACTCACATATGTCATGCATTTGGAGATTAATCAGGTTTTTAAAAATTAAAATCTATAAAAGTTTATATTAATATTTTGCCAAATCATTTGGCAAGTTCAGTCGACAAGCGGTAGAGAAATTCCTTGCATATAAGTCTTAAAGAGTTATGTCCCTTATCCTTGATACACAGACTTTGCCTGATTTGACTCCCTTTGCCTACCGAAATAAACCAACAAAGAACTAAGCTTCCTGGAGAAGATAACACTAAAGATGGGCAATTCATTTATTTCGTCCTTCTTTTTATCCTCCTGCAGGTAATATTTGTGACCTCGGTTTTCAGCCGCTTTGCATCATTTAGTTTGGAGAAGGGCCAGTAACTGCTGGCTACATACAAACCTACCCCTTGACTAGACTCTACAGTCAGGTACCAAGTGTATCTCTACGGTAAATTAAGTTAACACTGGCTACAATAACTTAGTCACCAGGTAGGGAACAGGTAGTCATTTATGAAACATAAATCTACCTAAAAAGACTTGAGCCAGCAGACCAGCAATGTGTTGTTATGAACTGATCAAAGTTTGTCAAGAGAGCATGATACCCAGGCTAGCTTCTCAAGTTTGAGTTACCTGTGAGTTGAGGGAGTGTGGAGAGACTCTGCCTGTGGTAGGTGGGGAACACGCCACAGTACAGCTCAAAGATGTTCCTCACAGCATAAAACATCTGGATAGCACACTGAGGGGAGCTCTCTGTGGCCTCGTGGAGGGTTTCGTAAGCAAGGTTCATCAGGCAGTTTACTGAGGAGCTGCAAAATGTCGTGCAAATTGTAGGCATGATCTAGGAAATAGTGCATCACTGTGTAGGGTGAGTGAGTGAGAGAGTTTGATTTTACGCCGCTTTTAGCAATATTCCATCAATATCACGGCGGGGGACACAAGAAATGGGCTTCACACATTGTACCCATGTCTGGAATCGGCGTGACAAGCAAACGCTTTAACCACTAGGCTACCCGACCGCTCCCACTGTGTAGGGAGGGAGTGAGTGAGGCAGTTGTGTTCAGTTATCAACATCATGCCATAACATGGTATGCAATCTTTGTTTGGAAAGAGCCAAACAAAGACCATAGACATTTACCAGTTTGGTGAAACTCACAAGCACTGGCATAGTGCTGACAAACCAAGGGTCATAAGCATGGCAAATCTGAAAAACCAAATCCACAATCACCAGATCCTGACATGGCTGGGATTTATGTGGGATTCCAAACTGGCAGGCAAATTGGCAAGGGGGGGGCTGAATATGAGCCTCTGAACATGTCTAGATAAATCCCTGCAAAGAGCAACTTGGGGTACATTATGCCACTGGGCTATGCATGCCACACACTGCCATGAAACCTGGTGAATACATTTAAACAGTGTTAATTCACATTTGATTCCAGCCTAAAACAAACTAATGTTAAATATAAAGAGATTGTCAAGATTCTGATTAAAAAGTTAAATTGAAGGAGTAATTGAATTACCGTATTCGGCATAAGCGCCCCGCTCTAATAAGCACTGGGGTGATATTTGTTAATATATTGGCTAGTGAACAATCCCAGTTAGCACCTTTCCAATTGATCAATGTACACAAGACTTATTTATTCGTGTATAATACACAATCGTGTGTTATATGCACCCTTAACTACGGGCAATTAAATTCTGGAAAAATATATCTGTCGTGTATAATACGCACAGAATTTTCTTTTGTATCATTTCAGGCTGTCAGCATAAACCACGAAATTTACGATCTTTCAACTCTTTCACCAAAATGTTATTCTAATAAGAGCCCCCTATTTCTAATTTTGAGAGCGCCCTGGGCGTTAATTACGTCAAATACGGTAGTTGTTATTTCTCATTCATACATGTGTCTTGTCGATCATGAATGACAACAATTGTGAGAAAAACATATTTATGATGTCTTATGCACTAACATGATGATTGTGAGAAGTCAATATATGACAAGCATAATTGATATATTTTGCAACCAACCTAATGTGACAAGTTGGCATCTTGAATGTGTTACCACTGAGAGGCACCTCAGAGCTGATCTCTACCTTCCTTGTCTTTTTACTGGATGGCCCCGAGTCCAGCTGAGTTACCTCCCCTAGCGGCTGGTCATCAGATATGACCGTGGTGTTGTGTATTTCAGATGTCATCATCTGTCGAGCCTGTTCCAGAATCTCCTGACATTTCTTGTTGGCAAATAAAACATCCACATTCCGGACATAGTCTGTCAGCATGGAGTTGTCCGACTTGATGAAACCCAAGTCAAGGAGCTGCTTCTGAAACAGCTCAGTCCTGGCCACGACTTCCTGGAAGTGTTCCAGGTCTTTCCTGTTGGTGGGTATAGCACGAGAGAGGCACTCCTTCACAATGACATCCACTGCCTGGCTGGAGATCTCCGTGCCCAGCAGTTCCATCAGGGTCACAGACGAGTTGGGGGCTATTGGGAACTTCAAGAATTTGATATGGAGATAATTCAGCATACTGAAAATGTTGTCCAGGACAGTTACATAACTATCAGTGACCTTTTTACTGGAAGCCACAGACACCCACAGAATGTGTGTTTGGGAAACTGACTTGGTGTCAATGATTACTTCCTCATTCAAGACAAGAGGTTTGATGAAACAACTCAACAGTTTTTCACCAAAACTTTTCATCTTGAGTTGAAGAACCTGCAGCATTGCCATGGCAACCACCATCTCCTGCACCACCTCAGCTTCAGCTCCACCTGTCAACAGTTTCAACTCCCACTGTCCTCCTTCACTGGTGTCGGATGTGGTCCAGAAGATATGCTCCTTCCACACATCCCCCAGATCAAAGATGAACTTCTGTTTCTGGACTTCGCACTCGGTCCGGAGACTCGCCATGATGGTCATCTCTCCCTGTCGGTCATGCACCGTCTGCTGCAGCAGACTATACACAGTGTCCAGACAGCTGGCAGCCTCCGAGTACTTCTTCTCCCTCAAGGCCGTCTCTCGGTTCTCCAACAGGTCCTGGAACTTGGCCAGCCTCTCCAGGACAGTCATCACTGATGTCATCTCCTGTAGCTCTCTGGTCAGGCTCTGAAACTCTCCCGTTGACATGTTTAACTGCCCTCGAATCTGAAATATAACTTGTATTAGTAATCATGGTGTTTAGTCATTAAAAATATTAATTGCATGAAAGACCAATATACATGATTATGAAAAAAAACAAAAAACTTTTACTCTTGTTTCTATATAAAAAAATAGCAAAATTTGTTGTGATTTAGTTTACTACTACAAATAGCTGCAACGAACATGTGTCTACAGCTAACTTTTCTTTTTGAACCGGCTCTGAAATATCAGAGCTCCAGATAAGCTTTTGGTGTTGTGGGTATTTTACCCATGCATTTAAAAATCATTGGGTATCAGTAATTCTATCTGGGTATTCAAATTTCTGTTACCCACTAGTTTTTACACATGTGGGTATTTAAGTTAAATATTTAAAAACACTACTCATCTAGTCCTCTAGGACTCAAAAATATGATACTTCCACAAGAAAGTGTGATGGCAAATGATCATGATGTAACTGTCATCATGGAGTTTGGCAAGGTTGACGGAATAAGTTGCTGATTTGCTAATCGAATACGCAGGGTTACTTCACAATATTTTGATGATATGCACAAGTTTTATTTTTGCAGCGTATCTGTAATGTTCGTTGCGTATTTGATACGCTTGGATTTTATTTTACTGGCGTATTTCTGCATTTCTGATTCATATTTTACGCAGATACGCAGCTTATCTGGAGCTCTGAATATTCATAGTCATTTCCACGCAATTTGACGTAAATATGCATATTGCGAGACATATTGTATCCTTTGTATTGTGATACAAATCTTATTGTGACCTTGATGTATCATTTCACCTCTAGTAACTCATCAGGTGAGTTCATTGAAATATGGTGTGCAAACTTATTTTACAGGTTATGTATTTGATGGGTATATTTATCATCATCACATGATTGAACAAAGGACAAACAAAAGTAAAATTCAATTCTTAAGCATGTTTAGCCAGCATTTTCAACTTGAGTGCAAGAAAAGTCCCTCGTTAACTAATATACAAAGTGATGAGTCATGGTTATATTTTTACCACCTGTGGTTTCACAACCATGGGAAAGGAAGATTTTATTTGATACCATAACAGGTGTATTTCATCTTTAAAAACAAGATATCTGGTATTGATTCCTAACACTTCAGGTCTGGGAACAGCATTTGAACAACTTCACTGAGACTGCAGTGCAAAACGTCAGTTAGACTATCAAATCAACCATGTATTCTTCAACTAGAAATTCTGAACTTAAATCAAATTATTATACCTCCGATTCAATCTTCTCTGTGACACAAGACATTTCTTCTGAGAGCCCTTCTACCCTCTCACCAAGCTGAGAAGATTCTCCATAGCAAGGATCAAAGTCCTTATACTTCCTTGTCACAAGGTCTTGGATCTCAGCCTTCATTTCATCCGTCTTTTTAGCAAGAGTGCTCAGTTTGCCCAAAATTTCTTCTTTCTCCAGCTGGGCTGCAAAGTATAAACAATCCTCAAGAATTAGAAGAAATGATTGAAATTATTTGTTAGGTGTATGCTTTTTCTTTTTGTTTGTTGTTTGACGCCGCACTCCAGCCTCTAAATAATCAAGTCTGGACCAGACTATCCAGTGATTGATACTGTAAACAACCATCCGCTATCAACCATGTCACCGAGCCTGACTATCCAATCAAAATGGTTGCTGGGGAACACTAGCTTGTTTGCTTGCCGGTTGTTTAACGCGGAACTCAGCAATATTCATGCTATATGACGCCAGTCTGTATATAATTGAGGTCCGTACCAGACAATACAGTGATTGACATCATGACCATCACTCTACACAATTGGGTATATGATGACATGCATCAACCAAGTCAGCAATCCCGTTAGCTGCCTCTTACGACAACACAGTCGCCTTGTACGGCAAGTACAGGTTACTGAAGACCTATTCTCTACCCAGATCTTCACGGGTTTGGTGAGGAACACTTCTAGCTTGTTTTATTACCCATGCGGTACTACTTAAACATGAAATATAACAAACTGTCCTGAAATCTACTGTGTGGTTTTAGATAGACTAGATAAGCAGGTGCAAGAAGGTCTTGAAAGATCTCGGATAGCAATCTAAACTGCCCCGATGACACATAATCACCATCATCGCCCAACACAAGCACCTGTTTTTCATTGGTCATGTTAGTCAAGTCGTGAAACAAACACTGTTGACTGTGTGGTGATTGCAAATTCCCTTTCGTTTCACTTTATAATTTATCATTTTTAAAAGTACAACTATCAATAATATGAATTATTTGTTACTGATGAATGTAATTTCTGCTTCAGCATGTGTGCTTGTAATTCCTTCCTATGAAGGGGCTACTGAGCATGTTTCATACATACTGTAAAACGTGAAATTAATGCGTCTCCAAAAGAATGCGACTGATGGCCCCTAGCCAAAAATGCGACTCAATATGAATGCGACACCCCCTCCTCTCAAGCATCAGTGGATTTATATCTGAACAAAATGTCCTCTGTCAGGTTTACAGGAGAATCCTCACCTTAATCCAACCTTACATTAATCCAATCACACACCAAATAGCACAGCTTATTAGCGCTGAGTAGAATACTTCAGCTAAAACAATATGTGCGCGCTGGCTCGTGTCGGCCTTTGACGCAGTCGCTAAGAGCAAAGACACTGTGTTGGGTGGTGTCTGTCTGGACTTGCAGGTGTAATCAGTGATGACATGAGTGAGTAGAACGCTTTTCTTGACCCCAGCAGTGACAATTCACAGGATGTAATTAGTGTTCGAATGACATTGTTTATATACTTGTAACAAGTGCTGCTCAATAAACAGTGATGTGGAATACATAGTTGTTTGTTTTCAGCGTATGTCTAATTTTTGTATTTCTGCTATATCCAAAATGTCTTATTGTTGATATAAATGCAATGTTTAATAATGTGAGAAAAGACCACTCGCATTTTTCGCATTTAATTCACGCTCGCGTTAATATCAAGATTTACAGTATATGCTGACGTCTTAGCATTCTTATTATGTTCTGTAGGCCTACCAGGTTTGTTAACTGATGTGAATGGAATAAATTGTCTACCATCATGGCCAGATGAGACTGTTTTGTTTATAGTGCACAGCAATTGCCATGGATAATAAATTTGAGCTTGAAGTGATGTATTTACACAGCTCCCTCCGGACATTGGAAGCTTGCTAGCATAGGAGCTGTTCATTATAGCACTAACAGAAGAACAGGTATAAACACAATAAACATGGTCTTTTACAACTAGTATAGATTACTTGAGACCTCACAACTAGTTTGGAATACTTGAGACCTATTGTCAGTTGTGAGATTTTGGTACTATACATGCTGAATGATGTAATTCTAGATGCCATTGAAACATTAACTACAACAGTTAACAAATAACAAATAAACATCACAGGCATAAATCGAGTCACTCTTATTTGACATTTCTCACATATCCGACATTCTCGTTTGAAGACTATGTCAAATCCTAAAGTCACCTTGTAATGTCAAACGAACATTGAAGTTTTAATGACATGTATCGTTTAATAACTTCGTGAAGGAATGTGATCGAAAACCGAACAAAAACGTTCAAGATGTATACGGCTGTTTATTTTGATACAGATGAAGACATATTTTAATTTACCTGCTGAAGACAAGACTTCTGCAACAAATGAAGCCATCTTGTTCTGTTTACAGATCAAATTTGAACATGTCACTTCATATTTCTGAACTGAAAATTCGAACCAGGTGCGCCAAATTTCAATTCGTGTTTACCGGAAATGACGTCAGAGACACGTCTGTAACGGTACTTTCGTATGATTTGCAGCAACCACTTTCTGCGTCTGGACTTATTCTCTAGTTTGGAAAAAACTATTGCACATAATGTTTCTAACGTGGGACCAAGCTAAGTTTGTGTCGTTCGATCCCGTCGTCGGAGATCGATGCTCGTGTTATCAACCACTTGTTTGCATATGGCTCAGATTCCAGTGTTTACAGGCTGCGGTCGTAGGCTATATGGGTAAATTGTGACGTGAATCAAATTCACTTACTTACTCGCTCATGAACGACAATTAGACAAGATCCATGTGCGAAATCAACACTGTTGGAAGCGCTCGTATATTCCACAAAACATACATCTAAGACCACTTCACCAATGTACCTTAAAAATTAACAGTGATTCTAACCATGTAAATGAGTGACATATATAAAGTTCATTTGATTGTATGCAATATGTATACATGCACATTTTATTCACCAACAAAGTGGTCTTTTTTCCTTGTGACAAGATATAAAAACATTTAGTCACACCCTCAGACCATTTGCACTTTTCAGAAGAAGACGTGCGTTGGCTTGACACGAAGGCTGTATTTTTCAATATGAGCTGCTGTGGAGGTATTTTGAATTGTTACTAATGTTTACGTTGTAGCTAGCTGTGTAGAGACACAAAGAACATGTTATGTGGAAATAATATTGATATAAGTAGGGTATATTTGCAGCAGAAGATATTTTAAATCCCAGTGCTATTTTACCACGGACGAAGCCTCATAATATCGTGGTTTCCAAGCCAATTCAAATGCCATTGTTCGAATGTGGGATTAAGGAAAAAGAGATACTTATCAATAAAAATATCAATCTCATTAAAATCAGATCTTAGTTCTCGGGTAGAATAAATCTGTGCATATTCTTTTGTGTAAAGAAATCTCTCATAGCACATCAAACGTTCCCAAATAACATCAAATTAAAGACGAATTTTTATTCATCATTAAACCTGCAACACATTGACATTTTGACACAATGTGTCAGAAGGTATCAATATAATAATACACAGTTGTAAAACGAATTGGAGTGTGTGCTGCAGCCTGATTGGTTGAAAAACGTTGTTAAAGCCCAGGAAATCTTTCACTGCGAATGAATATTTTTCCTATCTCAACAAAAACAGATCTTAGTTCTCGCTACTTTGTTTAACTGTGCATTAATAATATTAAACTATTGTCATCAAATGGGTAAATGACACCATACAAAACGGAGTATCCATAATGCCTATAATTTGCAGATCATCCAAAAAAGCATGTTTCTTTCACAATTGCACTTTGGTATGATGTTACGCAAATATGATGTGCATTTTTGGTCGTATAAGTAATTCTACTGCATAACGGTATCCATAAAACAGATGTTACATGTGACACGACCTTGCGGAATGATTGACAATTGTAAAACAGGTCTCTATTTTTGTATAGCTGTCGATTGTTGTAATATTGTTTATAAATTTATATTTACGGACACGGTGTATATATTATACTACTGTATTTATAATTATTTACAGCAATAGTTTCTTCAACAATACATGTATTCGCAATGACAATGTCACTATAATTTCTTTGACAGCTGGAGCTAAACAAAATTCCGAAGTTCAGATTTTGACCGAAGTTAGTTAGGCATCTTCTGACGCTCTAGCTAATATGGCATATTATTAAAGTCCAAATCTCTTATTACCTCCTTTTCAACCAACGCGTTCGCAACAACCCAAAGACGAAATAATCATCTCAACAACACAAGCTGTAACGTCGTATCAAATATACAGCAGCCTCATTGTGGAATTATCTACCACTGGAAATAAAACAATCCCCAAACGTATCATCTGTTAATAAAATCCGTTTTAGACTGACTTTCCCTAAACTGTTTCTTAACCTCAAAAAGCGCACAGAGCATACTTTATTGTGTGAATGTTGGCGCTATATAAGTTGTTTTTGTTGTTGTTGCATGGGTGGCCCAGTCGTCTAAGGCGCCGCAATTCGCTGTGCAGAGTTGCGTCCACTGAGCACGCCAGAAACCTATAATTGTGGGTTCGAATCCCGGTTTGCCCCGATTATGTTTCTAAGTTTGTCAGCACCATGCCCCTGCTCGTGGGTTTCACCGAAGTTGTAAACGTCTGAGAAGTGGTAAACATCATTTCGGTCTTTCCTCCCACATTAAGTTGACAGGCCGTGATATAATTGGAATACTGTTAAAAGCGGCGTTAAACCCAACTCACTTACTCCATACCCACGCGCAAATGTCTACAATTATTGAAAGAGACTATAGATTTTCTAGATATATTCTGAGGACATCATCACTATTGTGATCATTTTCTGTAATTCCTACAAACAACAGACAATGTTATATCTGTTATCGAGCGATTAGGCCTATGATTGTATCATATATAAATATAATATATCACTTTGGAAGCCGAGAATATTGAATGAGTACATCGCGTGTACTGGAGGTCACTCTGTACCTCACGCGCTGAAGAGTTCCTTTTTATTTCTACATGTGGGGTTTGTGATATCACAAGACGTCCTCACTTGCTCTCATGATGTTGTCGAAGACAGCTGTGGGGATCGCCGCGGGAGCTGGCCTTTGTTTCCTTGGTTATTGTATATATTTTGACAAGAAGCGGAGAAGTGATCCAAATTTCAAACAAAAATTAAGAGAAAGTAAGTTATCACCGCGTTCTACATGGCAACAGCTCAAGAATAATTTGAACACATTTATCTCTGATGCAATGCATGATGTGAATGACACCTGCCTTGATGTCACAAAATAGTTAACGGAATTACTGACAGAGTGAAAAGGGTCACAGTCACAGTGAATTTGTAACTGAATAGATAATTTCATCAATTCATGTAAAAGTTGCATGGTATTTCTTCAACAAAATGAGAAACAGTCCACTAAACAGTGCATCACATTGTACACAATTTGTGATGATCGGTACACTACACATAGCTAGTATTGTTGTATATTAATTTTAGTTATTACATATTAAATAGGGACCATTTTAAGGAATGTAATTTCTGGCTACCCATTATTCAGTCTAAAGATCAAGTCGACTATGTGTCTAGCTGAATGTTTCAAACAGCAGACACTACAGACACGTTCAAGACAATATGCTGTTTTAGCCACATTGTCCGAAGCTTGAGATTGTTTAAGTTTGTTCGGTCAAGTTTGGTCAACTTAACTGGTAATATATATTTTTTAACACTAAGCCGAGATTCAAGCTAGTAGACATAGAGTCTAGAACTTTGGGGCAGACACTGTTGATACAAACGGAAATACTTAATTGGTTAAATTAATAAGTATGTGAGACAATGTTGACGCCAGTCAGACATAAAGTATTACTATAGTGTTTCCAATCTTCCATCTTGCTGTGAATAGCTTCAGGGTTGCCGATGCTGTGCCAAGCAATAATCACTCCCTCACTCTCCTCCCTTTCGTAATATTATTCTTTTATTTATTGGCTGCTTAAAGACATTTTCCATCATGACCTTAAACATATGGACACTTAAGATGGACTGGTCTTTTCATTTGTTTGTTTTGAATGGGTACGTCCATCTTCGTGAGGCAAGAGAGTTAACTGACTATAAAAGTCCAGTTTCCATCCTTGCCGAACTAGGCTGGTATTATGGAGTTAGATTTTGGCTGGACTAACGAGTATTTGCATAGTCCAATTAAAATCGCGCACCAAAATCGAAATCCGGTTCGTTAACTGTCATGCAGAGTTTGGTTGATTGCAGGATTTGCAAAGCATGCGCACTGCCAACTCGTTGTCAACAGATATTTTCCAAATCTTTTCAAGTTTTTAATCAAGGTGCTCACATGATTTGATGCACTTCGTGATGTAAGACCCCTTTTATCACAATATAGTTTTAAAGTCAGTTAACTCTCTTGCCTCGGGAAGATGGGGTACGTCAGCCAGATGTAGGATTCATTTAACTGACTGTTTTTTGTGTTAAGCGGTGTGCACCCTGGGTGTTAGTAACATGGTATAGGACCAACACTACTTACAATGTTTTTCACGCGAACCCGGGAAGAGCAAGAAGAAAGAATTGGGAAAGTAATTAGGGAACATAGATTAAGAAAAATAAAATAGCGCATAAGTAATGTTGACAAAGTTTTGCTAGCCATATGTTCGCCATTCTGTGATTTTCTTATCACTGCTTTGACTTGTAGCAGAAACTAATGATTTAACCTCAGCTTTGCTTATCATATTGTGTGTTTACACATTTATTAACTGAAAGAAAAATAATGACTTGTGAAAATTTGCAAAGATGGCATAAAAACCTAAATTGAATTTAACCCACACAATCATTTGCCCACACGGACAAATCCCCACACGGACATTTCCCTAAACAGACAATTCCCCACATGGACAGTCACACATGGACTTTTTCCCCACTGTGACAATTCCTCACATGGACCTGTTGTATGTGACCCAGTAACACCTGTCACTGATGTGATCCTTTCATACTCTTCATTCAGTTCCAATTTCCTCCACTTGTTATTAGAAACTGTTAGAAAACATTTTACACTACTTTGATCCCACCCCCTTTGCATACAAAATGTAAAACAACTAGCTAGTGAGACCTGTATGTAATCCTTACTTAAGATTAATTTACTCCCAATTTCCTCCACTAATTCCCCAAAACATCAGCCCTTTTATGGAATATTCCTATAATACATTGCAAAGACAACAAACCCTACTTTCACATTGATTACTAAAAAACATGGTTTTGTCATAACTCAAGTCTGCCATTGTCTAAAAACAAAAATATTGTAGGGTGTAGGGAATTGTCCCTGTATTGGTGGGAAATTGTCCTGTAGTGAATTGTCCAGACACACATTTGTATGTGTAAAGTCTGATTTGTCAGCTGGGATAGGGGGCACAGGTGGCCCAGTCGTCTAAGGTGCCGCAATTCTCTGTGCAGAGATGCATCCCTTGGGCATGCCAGAAACCTATAATTGTGGGTTCGAATCCCGGTTCGCCCCGATTATGTTTCTAGGTTTGTCAGCACCATACCCGTGCTCGTGGGTTTCACTGAAGTGGTAAATGTCTGAGACCTGCATCACTTCGGGCTTTCCTCCCACATTAAGCTGACATGCCGTGATATAACTGGAATACTGTTAAAAGTTAACCCAACTCACTCACTCACTCAGCTGGGATAGCACATGGTACAACTATGTTTCATGATGTATTATCGGTCATTCCTTTAAACAATGTTTTTACAACATGTATTAGGGTTTTACCTTGACTTACATGACATCGCTGAAGTGTATTGATTTTGCAGTTTCCAAAATGAAATCCTTTTAGTTATAAGCTTTATTCATCACACTATGAAAGAGCATGTTAAAAATGGAAGCTTTCTTATATTTTAGGGAGGAAAAAGGCAAGTTCACAGCGACCTGGGAAAGCCACTGTTCAGGTATGTGTATTAATACACATCGGGGAGGAATACAAGGAACTTCTACAAAGCCTCAACATTAATCATTGCTAGACATTATGGATTGGGAAATTTGTAATTCCAATTTGGATTTTTTTTTACTGATATTTCCTGCAGACTCGGGGCCAAATATTGGCCTCTAAACTGGTCTTGATAAATCCTGCTATGCTAGTCGTAAGAAGCAACCAAATGGATCGATAGGTGGTCAGGGCCGGGGATTTGGTTGATGCACGTCATCGTATCCCAATCATCAATGGTCAAGACTTTATTATTTACAGACTGCCATCATATAGGTGGAACATTGCTGGAAATATGAATAAGAAATGCAATATAATTCAAAATTAAGGTACATAAGACTTGTTATTAAAACATGAGGAATACACTTGTTCAAGATGCCTTGTCAGTGTTGCTTCACTATTTGCGAACTGTATTCCCAAACTATAAGCTTAACTGTGTCATCTGTTTTTACCATCAATTGTCATATAATAACTTCAAATACCCTACCTTTCTTACATTATGCCAACATTCTTGTAATTTGGCTGTCATCACACTTGTAAAAACTACAGACATCCTTCACTATTGGCAAATTGTTTTCCCAAACTATAAGCTTATCAGTGTCATCTGTTTTTACCATCAATTGTCATATTCTGGTCTCTGAGTTTGACAGTAAACCTGCAGAGATGCTTTAGTTACTATAAAAAAGAAAATGCTGAAAATATGTTGACGTGGCTTAAAGTATACTTTTCCCTCACAATACAATATCAATGAGATGATAACAGTTTTGTTTGTGTTAGCAAGTTTTATTGTGTTGAAAAATCATGGTCAACTGTTCATTGCACAGATTCCAGACTTGAGCAATCCTGAGGCAATGCAGCGCTTCTTCCTTCAAGAGGTACAGCTTGGAGAAGAACTGCTGGCTACAGGTAACATGATACAATGGAGCAACTCCTACCCCCGTCCCCTCCCCTCTACTTGTGATTCAGGACAACAATTGTGTATCAATGTACCATGAGGGAATAGGTGATTGCTTATGCTGTGAGCCACTAACTTCCCCGAATAGATCATTGCTTATGCTGTGAGCCACTAACTTCCCTGAATAGATCATTGCTTATGCTGTGAGCCACTAACTTCCCTAAATAGATCATTGCTTATGCTGTGAGCCACTAACTTCCCTGAATAGATCATTGCTTATGCTATGAGCCACTAACTTCCCTGAATAGATCATTGCTTATGCTATGAGCCATTAACTTCCCTGAATAGATCATTGCTTATGCTGTGAGCCACTAACTTCCCTGAATAGATCATTGCTTATGCTGTAAGTAACTAACTTCCTTGAAAAGATCATTGCTTATGCTATTAGCCACTAACTTCCCTGAATAGATCATTGCTTATGCTATGAGCCACTAACTTCCCTGAATAGATCATTGCTTATGCTATGAGCCATTAACTTCCCTGAATAGATCATTGCTTATGCTATGAGCCACTAACTTCCCTGAATAGATCATTGCTTATGCTATGAGCCACTAACGTCCCTGAATAGATCATTGCTTATGCTGTGAGCCACTAACTTCCCTGAATAGATCATTGCTTATGCTATGAGCCACTAACGTCCCTGAATAGATGATTGCTTATGCTGTGAGCCACTAACTTCCCTGAATAGATCATTGCTTATGCTATGAGCCACTAACTTCCCCGAATAGATCATTGCTTATGCTATGAGCCACTAACTTCCCTGAATAGATCATTGCTTATGCTATGAGCCAGTAACTTCCCCGAATAGATCATCGCTTATGCTATGAGCCACTAACTTCCCTGAATAGATCATTGCTTATGCTATGGGCCACTAACTTCCCTGAATAGACAATTGCTTATGCTGTGAGCCACTAACTTCCCTGAATAGATCATTGCTTATGCTATGAGTCACTAACTTCCCTGAATAGATCATTGCTTATGCTATGAGCCACTAACTTCCCTGAATAGATGATTGCTTATGCTATGAGCCACTAACTTCCCTGAATAGAACATTGCTTATGCTATGAGCCACTAACTTCCCTGAATAGATCATTGCTTATGCTATGAGCCATTAACTTCCCTGAATAGATCATTGCTTATGCTATGAGCCACTAACTTCCCTGAATAGATCATTGCTTATGCTATTAGCCATTAACTTCCCTGAATAGATCATTGCTTATGCTATGAGCCATTAACTTCCCTGAATAGATCATTGCTTATGCTATGAGCCACTAACTTCCCTGAATAGATCATTGCTTATGCTATGAGCCATTAACTTCCCTGAATAGAACATTGCTTATGCTATGAGCCACTAACTTCCCTGAATAGATCATTGCTTATGCTATGAGCCATTAACTTCCCTGAATAGATCATTGCTTATGCTGTGAGCCACTAACTTCCCTGAATAGATCATTGCTTATGCTGTAAGTAACTAACTTCCTTGAAAAGATCATTGCTTATGCTATTAGCCACTAACTTCCCTGAATAGATCATTGCTTATGCTATGAGCCACTAACTTCCCTGAATAGATCATTGCTTATGCTATGAGCCATTAACTTCCCTGAATAGATCATTGCTTATGCTATGAGCCACTAACTTCCCTGAATAGATCATTGCTTATGCTATGAGCCACTAACGTCCCTGAATAGATCATTGCTTATGCTGTGAGCCACTAACTTCCCTGAATAGATCATTGCTTATGCTATGAGCCACTAACGTCCCTGAATAGATCATTGCTTATGCTGTGAGCCACTAACTTCCCTGAATAGATCATTGCTTATGCTATGAGCCACTAACTTCCCCGAATAGATCATTGCTTATGCTATGAGCCACTAACTTCCCTGAATAGATCATTGCTTATGCTATGAGCCAGTAACTTCCCCGAATAGATCATCGCTTATGCTATGAGCCACTAACTTCCCTGAATAGATCATTGCTTATGCTATGGGCCACTAACTTCCCTGAATAGACAATTGCTTATGCTGTGAGCCACTAACTTCCCTGAATAGATCATTGCTTATGCTATGAGTCACTAACTTCCCTGAATAGATCATTGCTTATGCTATGAGCCACTAACTTCCCTGAATAGATGATTGCTTATGCTATGAGCCACTAACTTCCCTGAATAGAACATTGCTTATGCTATGAGCCACTAACTTCCCTGAATAGATCATTGCTTATGCTATGAGCCATTAACTTCCCTGAATAGATCATTGCTTATGCTATGAGCCACTAACTTCCCTGAATAGATCATTGCTTATGCTATGAGCCATTAACTTCCCTGAATAGATCATTGCTTATGCTATGAGCCACTTACTTCCCTGAATAGATCATTGCTTATGCTATGAGCCATTAACTTCCCTGAATAGAACATTGCTTATGCTGTGAGCCACTAACTTCCCTGAATAGATCATTGCTTATGCTATGGGCCACTAACTTCCCTGAATAGATCATTGCTTATGCTATGAGCCATTAACTTCCCTGAATAAATCATTGCTTATGCTATTAGCCACTAACTTCCCTGAATAGATCATTGCTTATGCTGTGAGCCATTAACTTCCCTGAATAGAACATTGCTTATGCCGTGAGCCACTAACTTCCCTGAATAGATCATTGCTTATGCTATGAGCCACTAACTTCCCTGAATAGATCATTGCTTATGCTGTGAGCCACTAACTTCCCTGAATAGATCATTGCTTATGCTATGAGCCACTAACTTCCCTGAATAGATCATTGCTTATGCTATGAGCCACTAACTTCCCTGAATAGATCATTGCTTATGCTGTGAGCCATTAACTTCCCTGAATAGATCATTGCTTATGCTATTAGCCACTAACTTCCCTGAATAGATCATTGCTTATGCTATGAGCCATTAACTTCCCTGAATAGAACATTGCTTATGCTGTGAGCCACTAACTTCCCTGAATAGATCATTGCTTATGCTATGGGCCACTAACTTCCCTGAATAGATCATTGCTTATGCTATGAGCCATTAACTTCCCTGAATAAATCATTGCTTATGCTATTAGCCACTAACTTCCCTGAATAGATCATTGCTTATGCTATGAGCCACTAACTTCCCTGAATAGATCATTGCTTATGCTATTAGCCACTAACTTCCCTGAATAGATCATTGCTTATGCTGTGAGCCACTAACTTCCCTGAATAGATCATTGCTTATGCCGTGAGCCACTAACTTCCCTGAATAGATCATTGCTTATGCTATGAGCCACTAACTTCCCTGAATAGATCATTGCTTATGCTATGAGCCATTAACTTCCCTGAATAGATCATTGCTTATGCTATGAGCCACTAACTTCCCTGAATAGATCATTGCTTATGCTATGAGCCACTAACTTCCCTGAATAGATCATTGCTTATGCTATGGGCCACTAACTTCCTTGAATAGATCATTCTCATGTTGTTGCTGTAAGACTGAAACATTGTTGACTGCAGTGAGACAATGCGTATAACACTGTAGCCACTCAAAAGACTGATGAGAGACGACATTGTTAAAATCATATTTACAATGATGTAATATTTATTTTATGTGAAACACTAGCCCTCAAATATATTGTACAGAACAGTGGTATTTCACACATTCTACCAACACCTTTGGTATGTTGTTCAAAGTTATTCTATTTATATCAGTATTCTTCAAGATTTTCCAAGTATGGACCTAATTTGTGAGAAACAATTCTGCTTTTCTCAAGTTTTATATGGACGATAAGAAAAGAAAGGATTATTGTTCACAGCTTTATGCAAATATGAACAAAACTTGCCAGTTGTCATGGAAAAGAATAATTATCGTATGTATTTCTTAACGTTATATTTGGACCTTTCCAAAACTGTTTGTTTGTACATGTTGGTCGTGGTCAGTATGGCCAAGATCAGTAGACTCAGTTTCACAGCTAACACTCAGCCAACAGAAACAGTGGCAGTGGCAAGATTAAGCATGAAAGTCCAACGTCATTGTCATATTCCCTATGTTAAAAGTGAAGAAAAAAGTGTGCACTATACTCAAGAAAATACGGTACAACATATATTTACTAAAAGACACTGTAGCCTCTAACAGGAGTTACAAGGGACAAAATTGGATGGAGAAACGATGGAGAAAGGGTGAAAATAGACAGAAAATAGACATATTCTGACAGTAATATTTATTGAAGAAGCACAATGTAGTTCAAGATACAAATAAGTGTTTCATAGTCAACAAACATTCAGATTTCAAAGGTTGTGGTATTTTCTCCCCCTATCAGTCTCATAACAGCATCACTATATGCAGAGTAGTGTAGTAACTACCATTGTGTTGGATGTAAAGGCAACCAAGATCATTCCTGTGTTGGATAATGTTTTACTGATTGTGCAGAATGTATTCAATGAGTGTGACGTGTTGCAGGTGACATGGAGGGTGGTGTGGAGCACCTGAGCACCGCCGTGGCCGTGTGTGGGCAGCCCCAGCAACTGCTGCAGGTCTTACAGCAGACCCTCCCCCCTCAGGTGTTCCAGCTCCTGGTGCAGCGACTCCCGTCAGTCAGTCAGGTGAGAACAATACGCCCCCCTTAGTCCGGTGTGAACAATATTCCCCCTCAGGTGAGAACAATTCTTTCCCCTCAGTCAGGTGAAGATCATATTCCCCCTCAGTCTGGTGAGGATGATATTCCCCCCCAGTCAGGTGAGGACAATACTCCCCTCCAGTCAGGTGAGGACAATATTCCCCCTCAGGTGAGAACAGTTCTTCCCCCTCAGTCTGGTGAGGATAATATTCCCCTCAGTCAGGTGAAGATAATATTCCCCTCCAGTCGGGTGGGGGATAATATTCCCCCTCAGTCAGGTGAAGATAATATTCCCCCTCAGTCAGGTGAGGATAATATTCCCCTTCAGTCAGGTGAAGATAATAATCCCCTCAGTCAGGTGAGGACAATATTCCCCCTCAGTCAGGGGAGGACAAAATTCCCCCTCAGTCAGGTGAGGACAATATTCTCCCGCAGTCAGGTGACAGCAGGTCTTCCCCTCCTCCCCCAGTCAAGTGAGATCAGCACTTTCTCCCCAGTCTGGTGATTTACCTTTCATGACCAATGAGGTTAAAATGTAAGTTCCCATAAACAAGAATTGCAGCGCCGAATTCCAGCAGGTAACTACAGACTGGCTTTCCCTTCTATTATCACTTATCCTCCTTAAATGTGGTATATTTTCATCACTCATAGCTCCCAGTAACTCTGCTTCAGCTGTCTACTGACATATATGTTCCTCTTCAGCGTCTGTCTGGCGGTGTGCCCACTGGTGGTCCCGAGGTATCTACCCTGGAAGAGGATGACCTTGAGTGACCTAGACGTCTGCTACTGGACATTCCTGGGTTCACTTGCACAAAGCCATCAAGACATTGATCCCCATGACGGATGTGTGATTGTCCTCACTCCAAGATTACTTTGTGCAAATCGGCCCTGGTCAGTGTTTCTTAAGTGATCACTCCACAACATTGTGTGTTTGTGTGTGCAAGAACACTTATGGAAAGAGTTATCTCCCTTGGAAAATATTCATGAGACTTTTTCATCCACAGGTATCGGTCTCAAAAGCTCCCCAAACCTATGTACTGTACACACCGACAAAAGAAATGTGAGAAACATATATGTTGGTTACTATATGAAGAATTACTGATATTCAAGAGATATTAGATTGGTTTAATGCACAAACAAACATACTTATATGTTGTGTGAACCGACACTCAACGCATCACATGTGACGTCACCTATCCGTGACTGGAGATGCACCATTTGACTCGCGCAGGATTAGTATGTTTGGAAATCTCATGCAACATATTGTGATAAGAATAAAGACACTGTGCTAACACTTGACTGATTCTCATTAAGTGGTACACATTGGAAACATCTTCTCTTAACGTACGTTCTTCTCTATATGTTTTATGTTTCGCATTTCTTTCTGCGGTGAGTATATATGTTGAAAGGGATTTGTCCCAATATATATCACATAGATAATATATTGTGTTTGGGGTGGTTTTATTTAAATGTTTTGGAGAAAGGGATATATTATTATTGAATCAAATGTCTGGTTTTTTACCTGGCCATGAAACAAGGTGGCATTCTTTGCCTGGATTCTATTTGAGCGTATGTAATTATAAAACATCAGTTAAATCAATACCATATTGTCTTGAGTATAGTGCGCACTTTTTTTCCAAAAAACACAGCTGTGTACAAAAACAAATGATCTGTTAACAGCGAAACCTTGTTAATCCAGACCGGGTTTGTCCGGAAGTCTCCACATCCAGGGGATTGTTTGGAATGCTTATGTAATCACAGAAACATTACTACATGCATGTGATTTGTTGATCCAGAAACTTGTTAATCCAAAGGGGGGGATCGGGTAGCCTAGTGGTTAAAGCTTTCGCTCGTCACGCCGAAGCCCCGGGTTTGATTCCTGACATGGGTACAATGTGTGAAGACAATTTCTGGTGTCCCACTCCGTGATATTGTTGGAATATTGCTATAGGCGGGGTAAAACCCATCTTCCCGAGGCAAGATAGTTAACTGACTTTAAAAGTCCAGTTTCCACCCTTGCCGAACAAGGCTGGAATTCCTGGGCTTGGTCGTAGCGCTACCAGTGGCTATTACCAGTTATGTCCCTTCTAAGCCTCTCCTATGGACCAATCAGATTCCACCTGTCGTATTACTTGCACCTTGATTAAAAACATGAAAAGATTTTGAAAATATCTGTTGACAAAGAGTTGGCGGTGCACATGCTTTGCAAATCCTGCAATCGACCGAAATCTGCACGACAGTTTACAAACAGGATTTCGATTTCGGTGGGCGATTTTGATTGGACTATGCATAGACTCGTTAGTCCAGCCAAATTGTAACTCCATAATACCAGCCTAGTTCGGCAAGGGTCGAAACTGGACTTTTATAGTCAGTTGACTCTCTTGCCTCGGGAAGATGCGTAAAACCATACTCACTGTTAATCCAAATGATTTCACTGTGAACGGCCAGCTCTGTCTGGAGTAACATGGTTTCATTGTAATATGACACCAATGTTCATAGATTGTTGTTATCTAGGTAATACACCTGAATCGTCCAAACACCATGGCACACTGTGTATCTGTTACTAGATTTTTCACTCCATTCAGTGATTACATGACAAAGGACTCACTAAAGGACAAAATGGCTAATGTTAAACTCTTACTCAAATGATCTAGATCTGTTATGTAGCCATAGTCCATGGATCTTGATGACATCCTGATAAGCATCCACTGGCTACATCCCCCGATTACCAGCTGGTTACGGACAAAATAAGAGGCAAGCTGTGTGCAGACGGATTGTGATATCTTTGGCCGGATAGTGTGTCCTGCATCACGTCATGAACAACATGTAGAATTGCAGATGTTGGAGACCAGATTATGGACTCTTCGTCACAGCCAAGCAGCAGTAGAAACTAACAGTTTTAGCCCACTAGTCCTTATAATGATAACATATAGCAAAACCTTTAAAAATGGCAAATTTCTACTAGTCCTTATGATACCTTAACTATTGGGCATTTTGGCAAGGACTACAGGACTAGTGCCAATTTCTAACGCTGCCAAGTTTGATTGACAAGATCATGAACACTGTTTGATGCTTAAGAGATTAATATCCACTCAGTTCAAGTTATCTCAGTCAAATGCTGACCATGTCACATCTGATTGTGTTCCCCAGTTTTACTGATTTCTTGTATTTTGGGGTTATCTCATTCAACATCCATGCCATTAGATCGATACTGTAGAATGTATGATATGAATGAGTGCATGTGTCTTTGTCATACACGAATAAATCATCATAGCTTATACACATTTGCCTTATTTGTATTGTGACATGACATTTCAGTCATCGTAAAATGTTCAATGCTACACTGTTGAGAACATCTCAATGTTAGTTATATTTCGCGGCCACAATCAGCTGTATTCCCGCTAGATCACAGCAGCCGGTAATCAGTCAAGTCGGGACCAATACCGCCTCCGTGGTCTTGTGGTAGAGCGGAAGGTCCAGGGTTCGATCCCGGGCCGCGTCATACAAAAAGACGTTAAAAGATTGTACTTGTTGTTACCCTGTCTGGCGCTCGGCATTAAGGGGCTAAAACAAGGACTGGTCGGCTCGGAGTCAGTATACTGTGTCTGAGTGGGGTATTCATGTTAAACTGCGGCATGGTATCTCAGTGAGCTAGCACTATAAATCGGCATCAGTCCGGACTAGTACAAGCAGCCACACACACACATACACGTGCATGCACGTCGCTATATAAGTACAATAATCTTCGACGCGACGTTAAACCCCATTTCACCTCACCTCAAGTCGGGACCAGACAAACAGTGGTTGGTTGCATCAACCAAGTCACGGACACGGAGCCTGACCACTCAGTGTAGTTAGCCCATCTCTGTATAAGTGCAATAATCTTGACTGCGATGTTAAACCTTATTTCACCTTACCTAGGTAGCTCTTACGGAAGGCCTGAGGTACTTGAAATCCCCAAAATGGACAACTAAACTTGAAATATAATAAGTTAATAATAAATTATCGATTTTTTATAGAGCATCCTATCTAGATAGTCCCTGCTCAATAGTGATAAGTCGTATGTTCTTTTGAAGAGTGCTGTTGGGGGTTGACTGGAAGCTGCTGACATCCTTGCATCTTGCATCCACTGGAACCTCAATCCATAGAGCTCTATGTAGAGAAAAATGTAGACAACAATCAAATATATTCTGGGATTTAGACCAGACTCCGATCTGTGGAAGATCATGCAATACATGGTGGACATGTACAATGGCCACCATGGCAGTTGTCTAAAATGTACTGTGTGAAATCAGATTGAAGAACATAGTCACTACCAGTGAAATAAGTATACATACACTTATGATCCTAGTAAATTGAAATGATATTCACCAACAAACTACCTCTTAGACATGGTCTCAGATTGAATAAACTTCAGTTGACCTTTGTTGAAAGTGAAATCAGATTGAAGACCATAGTCACTACCAGTGAAATAAGTATACATACACTTATGATCCTAGTAAATTGAAATGATATTCACCAACAAACTACCTCTTAGACATGGTCTCAGATTGAATAAACTTCAGTTGACCTTTGTTGAAAGTGAAATCAGATTGAAGACCATAGTCACCACCAGTGAAATAAGTATACATACACTTATGATCCTAGTAAATTGAAATGATATTCACCAACAAACTACCTCTTAGACATGGTCTCAGATTGAATAAACTTCAGTTGACTTTTGTAGAAAGTCATGGCCACCAGAATTTAAAACAATCTATAGATATGGTTTTCATCTATGAATATAACATATTTCATCAGATGTCATGCAAAAATGATGAATCAAAATTTTCAGAGAATATCACCATGATTCATTGTTGGAGAGTTTGGTTTTAAGAAAAACAGCTAGTAAAACACATCCTGTTTAACTGAAGGAATTCTGTTATCATTAATACCAAAAGTTAATTTTGTGTGAAAAAGACATCAAAAGTCAACCATAAGATTTATTTCTTATTGCAAGTTGTTTCAACAAAATCAGTAGACTAAGAAATGGAAGCGGAAACATATACTCAACAACAAAAGTTCCTGTGACACCAATATTTTGGTGTACTTTCAAATAAGTAAAGTTTGGTTTTCAATATTCCATACAACATGTATGGAATCAAGTCACAAAAACGCAACTGCTACAGAAAAGCATGCATTCCATGCAAAAGTTGACCTTTATGCAAGCCCCATGCATTTCACTACCCAAGAATGGGTATAAAAACTTGCGTTAACGGGATTCCATATGCATTGTTTAGTATCGTGCTGACAACAACCACTCAGAAAAACAGCAAATTTACGCAATTATTCAACATAACAAAATGCTACGCCTGACCGAAAATGAGCGTCTGCGAGCCACTGGTATGCTTGAAGTAGGATCGGGTGATGTTGCAAGACAATTTTAAGTCCACAGAAACACTATTTCGTGTTTATGGCAACGTTGGCAACAGACGAATACAGTCAGAGACCATCCTCGGAGTGGCAGGCCACGCGTAACCAATAATTGACAAGACAACTGGATTCGAACAACACACCTACGAAATCGATTCCAGCCAGCAACAGTGACTGCAAGAAGCATCCCCGGCCTTCGACGAATATCTTTACAAACCGTATGTCGTCGCCTCAGATGTGCAGGGATTGTCGCCAGACGTCCCATTTTGACAGGAAACCACCGTCAAGCACGTCTTCAGTGGTGCAGACAGCGTCTACTCTGGACGGCCATGCAGTGGGGACAAGTTCTATTCACCGACGAGTCTCGTTTTCACCTCAGCAACAGCGATGGACGGATTCGAGTGTGCCGACGTCGAGGTGAACGTTACGCCAATCAATGTGTCATGGGAGAAGATCGGTTCGGGGGCGGCAGCTTTATGGTATGGGGTGGGATTATAGCAAGACAGAGGACCCGTTTGATAGTGGTAGAGGGAAATCTCAATGGACAGCGCTACCGCAACGAGATCATCGGCCCTGTTATTCTACCGTTTTTGCATCGTCATGGCCTAGGTATTACCTTTCAACATGACAACGCCCGGCCTCATATTGCTCGACTTGTTCAGGATTCTCTTCAACAAAACAATGTGAATGTCATCCCCTGGCCGGCTCGCTCCCCTGATCTCTCACCAATCGAGCACACGTGGGATGAGATGGATCAGCGCCTTCGACAACCACGTGTTCCACAGACACTCCAGGAACTTCGAAGCATGCTCCAGCAGATATGGACAGATATATCCCACAGGACTTTGTGAGACGCCTTGTCCATTCCATGAGACGAAGATGTGCTGCTTGCATCGCAACCAGAGGTGGACACACGCTATTTATTTGTAAATTTACATTTTGGCATGTTCCATGTTTTTTTTATGAAATCACTCATTTTCTGAAGTCAGTATGGCAAATTAAACCATTTGAACACTTACAGGAGTCATTTATCTGTTGCAAACCGAAATTGTTTCAGATTTGGTAAAAAACATAACTTTGCATTGAATCTTATTCAATGTCAAAGGAACTTTTGTTGTTTAGTATATATTTCTGACCGACAGACACTACATTACATGGAATATTTCCGACAGTCACACACTACATTACATGGAATATCTCCAACAGTCACACACTACATTACATGAATATTTCCGACAGTCACACACGGCATTACATGGACTATTCCCGACATTCACACACGACATTACATGGAATATTCCCGACAGTCACACACTACATTACATGGAATATTCCCGAAAGTCACACACTACATTACATGGAATATTTCCAACAGTCACACACTACATTACATGGAATATTTCACACAGTCACACACTACATTACATGGACTATTCCCGACATTCACACACGACATTACACGGAATATTCCCGACATTCACACACTACATTACATGGAATATTTCCGACAGTCACACACTACATTTCATGGAATATTCCCGACATTCACACACTACATTACATGGAATATTCCCGACATTCACACACGACATTACATGGAATATTCCCGACATTCACACACTACATTACATGGAATATTTCCGAAAGTCACACACTACATTACATGGAATATTCCCGACATTCACTCACTACATTACATGGAATATTCCGGACATTCACACACGACATTACATGGAATATTTCCGACAGTCACACACGACATTACATGGAATATTCCCGACAGTCACACACGGCATTACATGGACTATTCCCGACAGTCACACACGACATTACATGGAATATTCCCGACATTCACACACGACATTACATGGAATATTCCCGACATTCACACACTACATTACATGGAATATTCCCGAAAGTTACACACTACATTACATGGAATATTTCCGACATTCACACACTACATTACATGGACTATTCCCGACATTCACACACGACATTACATGGAATATTCCCGACAGTCACACACTACATTACATGGAATATTCCCGAAAGTCACACACTACATTACAAGGAATATTTCCAACAGTCACACACTACATTACATGGAATATTTCCCACAGTCACACACTACATTACATGGAATATTCCCGACATTCACACACGACATTACATGGAATATTCCTGACAATCACACACTTCATTACATGGAATATTCCCGAAAGTCACACACTACATTACATGGAATATTCCCGACATTCACACACTACATTACATGGAATATTCCCGACATTCACACACTACATTACATGGAATATTCCGGACATTCACACACGACATTACATGGAATATTCCCGACATTCACACACTACATTACATGGAATATTTCCGAAAGTCACACACTACATTAAATGGACTATTCCCGACATTCACACACTACATTACACGGAATATTCCCGAAAGTCACACACGACATTACATGGAATATTCACGATATTCACACACGACATTACATCGAATATTTCCGACAGTCACACACTACATTACATGGAATATTTCCGACATTCACACACTACATTACATGGAATATTTCCGACAGTCACACACGACATTACATGGAATATTTCCGACAGTCACACACTACATTACCTGGAATATTTCCGACAGTCCGCTTTGATACGATCGAATTTTATTTGTTAATAGTAAGGACCCGAAGGATATATTGGAACAAGATCTGTGATATACGTTCTCAGGTCAAAATCGAGTTACAATAGAACCAATTAGACAGCGATATCAACCATATTGACGACCTTTTCTATAATGTCATACTTCTGTTGTCGACGCGAGTCATGGGTGTGTTTCAAGT